CTTGTTATAAATCAAAATTTGTCTGAAAAAAACCACCCCGAGCACAAATATTCCATTACTTTCGTTACAAAAGTCGGAACAATAATTATTTTTTGTCATAAATCATGAAATTTCAATCTCAATCTAATAATCGTTTAACTCTAAGGAGAGCAATTTTGTTTTGGTTCCATATCTCGATCGGTTTATTGTTTAAATCTACCCGATTCGAGTTGCTCGACTTATGTTTCGACTTTGAAAGTCAAGCAAGTGCAGTTTTGCCACTAAGATTTGTCGTCGAAAGCATTTCTGAGTCGAGTACAAAGTCGAAACATACCCGATTTTGGTCATGAAACTCAAAAACATAAATCGAGAAAGTCGAAACCTACCCAATCTCGGTCGAGAAAGTCCAGCACAGTCAAACAAAGTCAAAACTTAGGTCGAGCACGGTGGAAACATGTGTCGAACACTCTCGAAATAAACCCAATTGCGGTCTAGAAAGTCGGAATATTGATCTAACACAGTCAAAATGTAGGTTGAGCAAAGTCGAAACATAAGTCGAGTACAGTTGAAACATACCCGATAACGGTCGAGAAAGTCAAAACATAGGTCGAGCACAGACGAAACATAGGTCTAGCACAATCGAAACATAAGTCGAGAACAGTCGAAACATAAATCGAGATAGTCGAATTATATACGCTCAGGGCTTCCTCCTGATACAGAGAGCCGTGCTGTTCTGGCTTTCGAAGAAAGTAATTAACCGGCATGACCAAAAATGGTAGTCATACTATTCTCATATATGGCCCATAGATATATGGCCAGGGGCGGATTTAGAGGGGGGCGGACGCCCCTACCCTCAGGGATTCGACCCCCTGCCGACACAAAGGGTCCCCCTTTGTACTATTTTGAGATATCCATTTTTGGCCGAACGACCCTAAAGTTTTTCTAAAGGCGCCTTTGGCGCCAATATATATATATTAGTTTTGAGGGGGGAGCGCGCGCCAAAAAAACGCAATTTTTTGGTCAAAATTTTCCAAAAAGTGCCTAAAAACCGCCTTTTTTGGCCTGTTTTTTCAAATTTTTGCCTGCGGGCGGCGCAGAAAACTTGACCAAAAATTGGAATAAAACAGTGCTTTGGGAGAGCTCGAAAAATCAATTTGGTCGACCTAAAAAAAAAGGTCGACAAAATTTTCAAAAATTTTTTAAAATCCGCCCCCCCCCCCGAGAAAATCCTAGATCCACCACTGTATATGGCCCAAACCGCTCAAATCTTACTGGAAAAAATGACCAAAAATAGTAGTCATACTATTCTCATATATGGCTCATAGATATATGGCCCAAACCGCTCTAATCTTACTGGAAAAACGATCAAACTGTTTAAATTTTAGTCACACCGTTTGAAGTGAATCTGAGACGAATCAGACAAATTTTGGAAATTTTTTTTCGTCGAGAAAGTCGAGACAGTCGAAACATACCCATTTTTGGCCGAGAAAAAGTCTGAGATCTGCAATAGTTTTCAACTTTTTAATTTTTTTAACAAAATTTTGGTCGAGAAAGTCAAGTAAGTCGAAACATACCGAAATTTGGCCGAGAAAATTGAGACATAAATTGAACACCTCGACCGGGGTAAACGGACCAATTTCATTTTGATGCTGAATTTGGTCTATCAAATATAAAGCTATAACTGCACTATAATTGGTTTTATCGTACCTGCTGATAACAAAGTACATACCCCGATATCTGAAGACCTTACGGGAGCCCCAAAAGCTTTGTTTATTGAGCCACAAATTATGTGGGATGGTCCGAAAAACCGACTAAACGGATTCCTTTTAATATGAGACTTTTTAAGATAAAGATCGTTCCTTATGGTTAACTACAATAATTGTTGGCTCAAAAACTTATAATATTTAGCACGTAACTACCACTTCTTTTTCCAAGTTGTAGATAGTTGAATCATTTTCTTCTTCTATTTTATTTGAAGTGGACTATAGAAATCTCATTTTGATAATCAGTAGATGGATGAACTCTAACACTTGTTCAAGTTGAAAGCTATTGAAAAATCAGGTGGAAAAAATTACTGCTTATTTAGGCATTTAAGTCAACCTCTAGAGGAAAAAAAGAAAAGGTCAAAATATAAAATGTTGCGATGATCAGGCACAAATGCGCTCGTCACGCAAACCCATAGTTAATTTTAAGAATTTCAGCATAAAAACTCTTTTTTGCACCTCAAAAATTTCAAGGAAACTGGTTAGTTACATAATAGTAGACAAAGAAAATAGTTGAGGGAAGTTTTATAACTTCCAAACTCCTTAGTTTAAATGATTTCTTTTAAATGATGTTTTTTTTCGCACGTAACATTGTGTAGAATTTTGCACACATCCAAAATGTCGGAAATCATCAATAAGTCTATTTTTTAAAAGGTACTTAAGAAGCACATTTTTATACTTTGTTATAATTTATACGGAAATCTTTGATCCCACTTCAATTCAAGCTGCTTCCAATACGGAGAAAATTTTGCAAGACTGAATCCCAATGCAAACAAAATTATGCGTTTTTGGCTCTTTAATTTCTTATTAAAAACCTCAAAAAATAAATACCCCGTTCATTTTTGGCAAAAATTTGCAATCCAAAATAAACATTTTTGTCTGAATTTTTGCAAAAAAAAGACGTTTTTGATCATTTTCTGATTCAAACCGCTCTCTTTTTGAAAGAAGAGAAAAATTTTGTTTATTCGGGTAGATTTAAAATTTTTGAAGTTTTTTTTCCGATCAAACACCAGGTTGCTCAAAAAATGTCATAGGTGTTGAGTGAGCTGACAAAATAAATATTTGTGAATGAATCAAGAGAACGAAAAAACTTTCATCAATTTTCTTTGCAAAAAAAATTAAAATAATTATTTGTGCTTGAAACAAAAGAAGGCAAAAACTTTCATCAAAACTCTTTGTCACAGAAATTAAATTAAAAATCAACTTGAAGTCAATTTTACTGCAAGCAAAGCATATTGATTGTAAATCTATTTGAAAAAATTATTAGCCTAAACAACCAGCTTTTGAAATATCAGCTAGCTCTTTTCCAGCATCAAAAAACTACTAGAAAAAATAATAATTTAAAAATAACTAAAAAAATTTAGAAAATGTTTCAAAAGAAGCAAGATTAGCTTCGCAGTTCTGTTTTTTGTTCGGTTTCAAGTCCATCAATATTTTGCCCTGGTCTAACTTTCTTCCCTAAAAGAATAGTTAAGTGTGGGCAATTTCTAACGCTTAAACTTTTGACTCTGTTTCATTTTTATGGTGTAGGTTTCTGAATTTGCTTCTAAACATATTTTTAATTACTCTTTTTTCACAGAAACTGTATTCGCAAGGAAGGGTACGCTAATTAGAATAGGTCTAGGAAAAACCTCAAAAAACCCAAAGCTAAATTTAGTTTCTTATTGAGTCCCAAACCGGACCGCGTGAACAATCTCCCCCTAAATTGAAATAAGAGGAAGATTGTTCACTTGGTTAAAAATCTTATTTTTCAGCCAATCAAATTTGAATGTAGTACATGCACGCTTTACTGTTTGAATTTGTCATTCATTGTTTAGATGGTTTTATAATCTAAATTATAAAAAATACTAAATTATAATCAATTGGGAGTTGTTTTCAATCTTTTTTTCCAATTTAAATTTTAATTGGTATGTAATATATCAACTGCATTTCATTGTAATTTTCTCCAACTCAATACATTTTTTCAGTTCTTAAGTACAACAAACTGCTCGTATCAGGGCGAAGCCCTGAGTGTACCGAGTGCCTGTTAAGTTCTATGCGGCAGAAATAACATGAAACGACTAAATCTAATAAAAAATGAAATTTCTTTTAAAAATTTGAAATTTTTTGTAAAAATCATCTCCCCACACGCCATATAAAGTACAAAGTGATAGATATAGCTCCTATTAACAAATCAATTATGACAAAAAAGCTTCCTTAAACCAATTTGGAACGATTTGTAGACGGGTTGAATCTTCGTTTAAGCGTTAATCGTGCGAAATATATCGCGCATTAATTGTCCCAAATTAGCCAAAATGGCAATCTTCAAACCCCTTTAACTTTACGAACACTGATCACATGGGAATTGTTTTTCAATTGTAAGCTCAAACCAACATACTTTTTGAACGGTAAAAAAAATTCCGTCAAAAGTTGCTTGGTAAAAAATCGAAATTTGTCTGAAGATAAAAAAAACCCACCCCGAGCACAAATTTTCCGTTACTTTCGCTACGAAAGTCGGAACAACAGGGGACAAGTTGAGCGCAATTTATTAGCTTTTAGAAGGCAATTTTTGCTGGACTGTCAAACAGAGCATTCAGGGATAAGTGATTAAGTCAAATGACAGACAATTTTGGGATTTGAGCAGATTTTGAGCAATTAATTTTGAGCAAGCAAACAAGCTCTGTCATTTTATTTACTGTTAGTGAAACTTTTCTTGTTTCACCACTGTCAAGCTATTTATAACATTGATTTCGCATTGACCACTCAAACAGTTTTTTTTTCTCTTGAACACTTCTTCTTTTAGACCGGCTCTCCGTTTTTTGCTATCTTTTTTATGAAATAAGGTGTTCTGCATTCGCATTCTTTCAAAAAAAAATGCTTCATAGACCTTAAATGGCAGTCGGAACATTCAAAGGGCTTTGCCCTGATACGAGCAATCTTGTTGAATTTTGTTATTGGCGGTTTAAGCTTTTGACTTTCAATTAGTTGGGCTCAAGTTTTTAAACTTTGCTTTTATAGATTTGAATTTTTTTAAACGTTTTTGGGGGTTCTTCGAAACTACAACAAAAATTTGTTTTACAAAATTTCATATGCCTGTTTTTGTTTACATGAAGAAAGGTTCGTTAACTTGTTCACGCTGACACGGTTCATTTCAGTTAAGAACATCAAAAGTCATTTAAAATGGGTCTCTCTAAATTGAATTACAGAAAAAAAATCAAGGTGGACTGGAAAAGAGCTGTTTTGGTATGTTGATTTCTGACATGTGTTTTATTTGTTTAGGGATGTTTGCGTGTCTGACCACAGTCATGGCCCTGACAGTGGAGAGGTATTGTGCAATCAAGGAGCCATTGTGGACTCTGCAAGCATGCAGCAAGAAGCGAAGTCGCAACATCTGCATTGTCACGTGGTCTGTTCTACTCGTGTACTGCAGTGCAACTTCGTGTCTCACCATCAAACTGCCCATCAATGGTTAATTCACTCTTATATTCTTATATATGTTGACGTGTTTTCCCTTGAAATATTGCGCTTTTAATTGACAAAGTCTCCTGAAATAAGACCACCAAAGGAGCTACTTGAATTTTCGAATTTTCAAAAGTTCTCTTCAATTGTAATTTAGATTTTGAAACACGTAAGTAACGCTCATTTGAAATGCTCATGTGAAAAAAAAACGTGAAGTATGGGCAAAAAACAGGCTCTTTCACTTTTTATAGCCCCAATTTACTTACAGAAAAATTGGAAGGAGAGTAGGGGGAGGTGAAATGCTGGGAAGTTAAATGGAAGGGAGCCGAATGAAGAGCTATCGGATAGACAGAATTAATTTGAAATTGTTGTCTCCTGATTCTGAACAGTGTTTGCATACCAATTCAAATTTTCAGGCGAACTTGAGATTATAATGTCTGCCACTAAAACCTGTTTTTGCATGCATTAATTTTGGTCTGAAGTTTGTCATTTGCTCTTTTTAAGCATTTTTATCCATATATATTTTAAGGATCTTTTTAGAACTAGACACAACGCTGGGCACTAAGAAAATTCGCACTGACACAAATAAGTAGTAATATAATATTGTAATATATATTAACCACAAAAATAACCGGTTGATGAGTAAGTAGCAAAGAATTTTCTGATCATTAATATTTCAAACTAGTTTTTTTTTCGTTTTAAATACTTTCGAATTTTCCAATCATTTACAAAAAAAAGTTTAACAAATCTATTTCAAACTTTTTTTTTCGTTTTAAATTTTAAATAGAAAGTGACTGAATTAAGCAAAAAAATTGTTAAAATGAGCAGGTAACATTTCAGCAAAGTTTGTCCACTGTGTCTGAAACTCAGACCAATTTTCTCGACAATCAAAAAATTAAAAAGTTCTTACTACAATCCAAACTATGACTAATAGGATTTTAATCTGGTACCCGAATTGACCCCTAATGTTTTCTGTAGAGTTAGTAGGAATTGATAATGATTGAAAAAAACTTCGAAAAGGACCCTACGCCATCATTTTTTCCCATTCTTCGAGAGTTGTCGGAACTATCTCATTATTGAAATATTATTGTTTTTATTAGTACCATTTCAGACTACTGGAAAAAAGAATTGTGTGTCTGTCAGCAGATGTCAAAAAGTTGCCAGAGGTATTTTTTTTGGGGGAAAATCAATGATTTCTGGCCATGTTTTAGAGCTCCCATTATATCTGGAAACTTTTGCAATGTTTTGGATTTTTGCAGGCTTAAGAAGCCTTGAGTTGAGTTTTTTGTTGATTAAAATTGTCTAAGCCTGTCTCTTGATTTTTCCAGACGAATAGTCAAGTCTCTCACGAAAGTTTGTTTAATTTTCTCAAAAAAGCAATCATTTCAGAGGGATTTGTGCAGAAACTTTACGGTGTTCGTTTTTGTTCTAAGTTTTAACTAGCCTGAATCAGTTGTTTTCTCTTGACATATAAATCCTCGGTGACAACCGCTGAAAAAAAGGCCGTTTTGTTCAACCTTACAAATAGTCAAAAACTTTCCCACTTGAAAAGTAGATTTATCATCATCATCAAATGAAATCAAAGATAATTATCGAAGTCGTTGGTTTTACAGTCGAGAGGCGATCTTTTTTTCTGAGAGCTCTGACACTGAGACGTTTGCCTTTTTTATGAATTACCTTTTGTTCTAATTACTGTTTTATTATTATTAAATTCTTGTCTTATTTCTCAGAAAACGAATTAGTTCCGATGATGATAAGGATTTTAAACGATGAGTATCGGAACTGCCGAGACCAAACTTTTTGCAAGCACTTATTCATTTTAGTTTTATGACGCAAGTTACGCCCACCTGAAAGGCTGAAACAAAGACAATCAAGGGAATGGCCTCTAAGTAACTTTTGCCATTTAAAGTGAATTCTTTCGAAGCTGGATAAACTTTATTGAAATAATCGTATTCTGTGTCAGTTTCTGAAATAAACCAACAAAACGTTCTCAAAATAGTATAAGGATCTTTCTTTGTGAAACAATTTATGCGCCGGAGGCAAACATTAAAAAAACAGGCCAAGAAAGGCGTCTTTAGGCATTTTTTGGAAAATTTTGACCAAAAATTGCGCTTTTTCAGCGCGCGTTCCCCCCTCAAAATTGTTCATGTTGGCGCCAAAGGCGCCTATAAAAATTTTTTGAGGTTGTTGAGCGAAAAATGGATGTCATAAAGTTGTACCAAAAGAGGGACCCTTTGGAAAAATTTGGCAACTAGAACTGAGGGGGGGGGGGGGGAGCAGTTGTTCCTTGATCCCCTTCTTCGGCATGCTACTGCTGTTCGGGTTCTTTTCTGTTTACGGCACAAACTTTCCAAGTTGTTCCTTGAGCCTTGAGCTTTTGTTGTAGATGAAAATCTTGATTTTCTTTTGCTTTTAATAGTTGTTAATAATTTCAGCCAATATTTGAAAATTCCGATGCAATTTTAAAAACAACAAGACTGCTCGTATCAGGGCGAAGCCCTGAATGTTCCGACCGCCTTTTAATGTTTATGGAGCAGTAATAACATTTGAGAAATTAAATGAAATAAAACAAAATGAATTTTTTTTCTTCTAAAATTTGAATTTTTTTTAATGAAAATCATCCCCCCACACGCCCTATTATTAACAAAAGGATAGATTTCGCTCCTCGTAACAAATCAATTATGGCAAATAGGCTTCTTTCAACCAATTTGGAACGATTTATAAGACGGATTAACTCTCCGCTTACGCGTTAAAAGCGCGAAATATATCGCGCGTTAATTGTCCCAAATTGGCCAAAATGGCAATCTTTAAACCCCTGTAACTTTACGAAAAATGATCACAGGTGAAATATCTTTTCAAATTTAAGCTCAGGACAACAATACCTTTCGAATGATATAAAAAAATTCCGTCAAAAATGGCTAGTTAAAAAGTCGAAATTTGTCTGAAGAAAAAAAAAACCCACCCCGAGCACAAATATTCCGTTACTTTCGTATCGAAAGTCGGAACAACAAATGATCAGTTTTGAGCTGTATGACAGAAAAGACCAGAAGTTTGTTGCGCATTTACCGAGTCTGCAGCGGCTCTTATTGGTCTCGCGTTTTGATTTTTAGGTCGCTCAAGAAATCCACTTTTGAGCCAGGGAAGTTTTCTTCAAGTTCTAGAACTCTAGGTGTTTTGGGGCCAGTGCTAACCGCACTTTTAACCAATGACGAACTTTATCTTCCGACCATTGTCTTTAGAAAACTACGGTTTCGAAAGTTTTTTTTTCCAAATTAGTGTAATTTTTTCTGTTTGATGTGATAAAAAGTTCTGACGTTCGGACCCTAAAATTGTTCTAAAGGCGCCTTTGGCGCCAGTATATACTAACTTTGAAGCGGAGCGCGAGCCGAAAAAAAAAGTAATTTTTTGCCCAACATTTTCCAAAAAGTGCCCAAAAACAATTTTTTTGACCTGTTTTATTTTTTTTAAATATGCCTCCGGCACAAAATTTTTGGTCGAAGTATGGAAAAATTGTTGAAAAACCGCCCGCCCCTCCCTCGAGAAAATCCTAGATCCGCCCCGCCACAAATTTATAGCTTGGGAATTGGAGGATGCCATTAGATTGCAAGAATCGGCACCTCAAATCAGAAACAAGCTCATTACCCTGCTGATTAAGTTGCTTTAGATAACTTGTTTCGGTGATATATAAATTCATAAGTTTTATAACATCTCGGTTGTCTAGTATATAGTTTTCGACGGTTGAATTGATTAAATTGCGATTGAACTGATTAAATTTTTCCGTCGTGGCCATTTTGATAAGGCAGAAAAAATGTTCTAAAATTGTAAACATTTTTGTGGAATTTCTGATGTTTCAGTCAACATCATTGCATCATTTTTATTGAAATAATTTGCCTTTTTGATTCGAAACTCGTTTCGCAATTTCAATTTCAATTAGGTCATTTGATAAATAGGTATTTTTATGTGCTTATCTTTTAATAGTATTATAAATGAACTTAAATGGACTGATAAAATACTCGAATGACCCCCTAACAAACGGAACAAGGAAGAATTTTGGCACTTTTCCGGCATGAAACCCCGTATATACTTTTTTAAAGCTGCTAATTCTTTTTAATGGGGCTACAATGCAGTTACTGCTTCAATATTAAAAAAACAGCATAGAAAAAGTTCATTAGGACTTCGGCTGTTATAACATTTATACATGACGTAATTTTAGACTCAGTTGCGGGTATTACAGAAAATGCCAGGTAAAACCCCTGCAATCTACTTTTAAACCGGATAAAAATGTCCAGCTCTACCGTTTGGTTGGAAGTTTTCTAGTTAAGACTGCCATCAATTTTTATGTCTTTTAAAACTCGTGCATTAGTTGGTCTAATTGATTTTTATAAAATGAAAATTTTTCTTAAAAAAAGCTCCCCAATTCTTACTTTGTTTCCCTGAGTTTTTTTCCTAAATGCTTCTTCGGGTCCAAATGCGGTTTTTATTTAAACTAATTTCCACGTAGTTAAGACTGCCATCAATTTTTATGTCTTTTAAAACTCGTGCATTAGTTGGTCTAATTGATTTTTATAAAATGAAAATTTTTCTTAAAAAAAGCTCCCCAATTCTTACTTTGTTTCCCTGAGTTTTTTTCCTAAATGCTTCTTCGGGTCCAAATGCGGTTTTTATTTAAACTAATTTCCACGTATCTCCATTTCTTAAAACGTTCCTTAATTTTTACCACTTTAAAAAAAGTTTCATATGTTGGCGTAGCTAATTTTGATTTTGATTTCGGACTTCTTGTCAAAATGCTTTTTGTTAAGTGTTCTCAAACTAACGAGCGATTGTCTGCAATACTGATTTTAAAAATTAAACTAAGAAGACGATGATAAAAACTGTTTTTATATTTAATGTTTTTTAACTTTTTTTTTCAGAAAACCCTTTCTATTCATTTTTCTAAAGTGAAAATCTAACAGCTAATTTAGTTTTAGTTGTGGCTTAACTTTCATTTTCTTTGATTTAAATTTTCTTTT